TGGCATCTTCTGAAACCTTAGGCTCAGATACTTCAACCATGTTGATTTTCACATTACTCTTACCATCTATATTCAGCTTTTGCATCTTGGCTTCCAGGCCCTCCGTCGAACCTATGACAACAGCCAAGTAGGAACCTGCAACAGTTCCTTTGTTTGAACCTTCAGTGGCCTTTTTCTGTATCATTTCGACAACTTCTATGCTAACATCTTCAGTGAAACTGCCAAAGACGGGTTTGTTGATGAAGTTTGCTGAGACTTCGACCATGTTGATGCTTGAAGGTTTAGCATAGTTGGCATCAACTTGCAATGGATTTGTGTCAATCCTCATGGGTGGTTTGTCAGCAAACTTAAGCCTTTTGTCTTTGATTGCGCCTTGAACGGGATCCTTGAAAAGGAAACATTGTAAGGTTTTATGGCCCAAAAAATTATGATATTTACAAAACCTCTCTTTTTCCTTTGATCTAAAGGAGGCATTTTTACCCCAGGGGGCACTATCATCTGACCATTTTTAACTAATAAGTCAAATATTTCGTCACATTTTGTGACTTCGAAACTATATGTTTTCTTTGGGAACCTATCATTATTCTTCTCTGATTCAATAGGATTCTTCCCATTTGAGGGTGTTAACAATTTGCAAGAATATGGTGATCCTTGCTTTAATTCTTCTAAATCAATCTCACTCTCTTCGATAGTTATAGGATCACTAGATGTCTCTGGATCGTCATCATCCATTTCAACATACGCTACCCTTTCTCTTCGATGAGTTTTATTCGCTTTAAATTTTTTTAGCCTTAAGATGTTCTACCTGTCGAACTCTATCATCCAATTGAGCCATATCTCTCAGGTATTGGGTATCTAATTTCTTCCTAATGGAATAATCTAGACCTCCTGCAGCCATTTCGACCAACTCATGTTCTGACACTTGTATAATGCATCTGGCTTTGAGCAGTCGAAATCTGTTTAGATACTCGTCTATTGGCTAAGCGAACCTCCTTTTCACACTAGCCAATTCTTTCAAACTTATTTTGGTTTGTCCCATATAGAACTGTTCATGGAACAATTTCTCTAACTGATTCCAATTGTGGATCGAATTGGCTGGGAGTATGGTAAACCAAGTGAAGGCATTTTTGGTTAGGGAACTTGGGAAATATTTAATCCTAAGATTCTCATTATTTGAGATTTCCCCAGCTTATATCAAATACCTTGCTACATGTTCGACAGTGGACTCTGTCGTATCCCCTGAAAACTTGGTGAACTTTGGAACTTTCCACCTAGGGGGTAATTCTGATTGTAAGATATAATCTGATAACGGAGATATAAAGTTTGGCCTATGAAAGCCAATATTCACTCTATTTTGTGCCATGATCCTTTCGACCATGGCTGTCAAGTTATTATCTCCCGCATAGTTATGGTGTCGAACCTGCTGTATTACCTCATCAGCAGTTTGGTTTCTATTTACCGTTACTATATCTTGTTCAACAACTCTAGGGATTTGTGGGACAACCCTGGGTCTTTCGACTCTAGGTTGTTTGATTTCCACTCTATGGTTCATTTCCACTGGCTGTGGGTTTTGGTTAATGGTCATGTCATCCCCTAGGACTACACCTTGATTTCCTCTTATCAGCTCTCTTTGGTATTGTCGAATAGGTTGGGGAACCCCGAGAAATTCAGCCATGCGCGTCATTTATGCTGTCATTTGTTGATTCGACTGGGTGGTATTTTGTATTAAAGGGTTTAGCATTGTACTCAAAGTTTGTGCCAACATTTGCACCATGTCATGGTTACTTTCATCCATTTGTTGCCTCAGAATTACTACAGAAGCATTTGTAAGGCTTGGCATCGCATGGGATGTTCCTCCTAAGAATTGATTCCTACCCCAATTTGCCATACCAGTTCTAGATCCCTGCAATGGTGAAGATGCAATCACTGAAGGGTCTGAGAATGTGGACGTAGCATTCATAAGGCTTGCCATTTCAGTAGTTGGCATGCTATAAGGTTGGTCTCGACCCATCCATGCTGTCGAAAATCCTGGAGGAAATAGGGTCGAACTCCTGGAGTTCTCCTTGGTGGGGGTGTTCCTGGTGGACCCCTAGGACCTACATAAGAAAGTATTGGTCTTGTTTGCGTGATCGTTACTGCTGGTGTCGAACCAACTGTTGATGGAAAAGGTTCACTAATTATGGATATAACCGTGGTTCCATTGCCAGTAATTGGTGGAGGTATTTCTCCACTAGCCTGATTAGCCATTGTACTATTTATTTTCTTATGTACATATTCTTTTGTGGTTGTTTTGCCACTTCTTAATAACATACAATAATCTTTGAAAGAAAAGAAATTACTTGAAGCATTTATGATAAAAAATATTTTTATCAAAGTTTATAAAAAATAAAAGACTTCAGCAACGTCCCACCAGGTGTGCCAGTTTTTTTACCGTGGAAATTGGTAAACAATCGTTGATCTTCTAAAAAGGGTTATTTTGATGACTTGCAGGATCGATCAGATTGATCCTAAGACATATGCTGAGTTTTTTATATAAGCAAGTGAGTTTAAGTGAAAAGGATTGAAAAAAAGCTAAAAAAGTACAAGTAAAAGGCAGAATAAAGTAAATTTGCAGTAATGATAAAGCTTGTGCAGGGATGTAAATAGCAAGGAATGTAAAGGAATTGTAAAGACTTTGATTGAAATAAAAGATGGTGTTTCAAACGTACATTCTCAATATCTTTTCTCTCACAGCGGATACTCGGATATGATTGAGTGACTTGTACTAATAAGTTGAACACACACGAAAATCTACATGAAATCCCTGTATTTATACTAAAACTAAGTAACCGTCGAGTTGTTGCCTCGTTCCAGGATGAGGAAAAGTGTCCTCTGCATATGCTTTGACGTCTATCTTCATGCCACGTTACTGTCCTCAACTGCCAAGTGAACTACCTTTCCCTCCTTTCTTCAGATTCAAAATTCACTTGCTTGCTGGTACAAGGATCTTTCAGTCGAAGACCGCAGGATCCTCTCGGTCGAAGACTACAAAAACTTCTTGATCGAAGACCAACTTTAACTTAGAGAATTCTCTAAGTGTTTTAGGCTCTTCTGGTCGAAGTGTTGACAACTTTAGGTTTCTTCAATCTATTTTTAGCCAATAAAACCAATATATTGTGGGTGTCGAATTTAGGAGCTAACAACATTGTAAGACAACTAACCCATCAAATACTAACATTTTTCTCTACTAACATAATTTAAAACTCAAAATATTTTCAAAAAGGATTCTGGAGATTTTCTTTATTAACTGCGAACTGCGTCTACGATTCCGCTATTTTCAAACAAAGACTTGGCTCAAGGATTAATTTCAAAATATTTTCACAATCCATAAAAAAACTAACCAAACACGGCGAACTACGAAATGAGACTCTGATTCCTTATAAGAGGATACGTAGGCATACGATTTAAAAACCGTGGCGAGTCCCCTAACTAAAAAATTAAAACAATATTCTAACCTTTAATCTAAACCCTAGTATTCTTGTGAATAACGTAGATGAAGGGTGCCTAACACATTCCCTTCGTCTAAAGTGAGTCAAGAATTTAGAATCTCTGTATCAATTAGGATTATTCTGTTATATCTTCGTCTTAAGATAAAATTAATGGCGACAACTCTTATTTTTTATCAATTATTACAGTTATAAATCAAATAAATCACTCCTTAAAAAAAATCAACTCAATTACATATCCTACACAACCTTAAAACTCTTCAATATTGCCTTTAAACTCAAGATACCTTACGGTAATCAAATCAATAAATTAGAAATACGTCTTAAATATTTATAGGATTCTGTATAAATTAAAAATATATCTTAAATATTTATAAATCCAGGATAATATAAATATCTATATCCGTCAAATAAAATATATATGAGATATCGTATAAATTATAAATATAAAAGAAAATGTAGTCTTTTATGATATTGTTGTTAGGTGATCATAGTAGTATTTTATACTAGATCCTAACAATATCAAATTTAAATATTATGTTACATGAAAAATTATATAATAAAAAAATCACATAATATCATAATTTTAAAAATTAAATAGATTATAAAAGTAAAATAATAAAAATAATGTCATAGAAAAATAACAAAAATCTATTATAAGAATCATTGAAATATCATTCCTTCTTAAGACAAATCTTATGCAAATTAGTTCCGACAATGTTCCTTAGCAAAATTACACAAATTATCCCTTTTTGGAAAAACAAAACAAAATGCATTAGTTTAGGTGAAAAAGATATTTACTTTCTTCTTCAAGATGATTTGATTTCCTTAAAATCTTAAATCAATAAATCATAAATGCACAATTCAAAAGATTTAGTTATTGCCATTCAAGAAAATAAAAAATCAACACTAAATTAAGTGTATCAACAAAGTATTAACAAAATCACACATATTTTTTCAAGTAACTTGATTTTTTTTTACAACACTTAAATTTTATTTGTGATTTAATTAATAAATTTATTTATAATTTAACTAAAATATAGTATATTTATATATTAATTAACAAATCAAATATAAATTTTTTAAATAAAAATTTTGAAATATTTATGACAAGAATCAAGAAAGTAGAAACATTTTATTTCAAAAAAACAAGAATCAAGAAACATTAATAGAAAGATACTACTTTTCAAACAAAAAACCAAGTTTAAGGTAACAAAATCAGTGACAGTATCAAAATATAAAAATTTCAACTTTCTCCGAATTTTTTTGAATTTATGATTCTTGTTCTCTTTGGTTGCTATCTAACAAGAAAGGAAAGTTTATAATCACTATAATCCATCTTGGGTCACACGTTGTTTTCAATCACTCCTTTTATCTCTCTCCATTGTTTCACGGTAACTTTTATGTATATATTTCAAGATTCTCTAACTTTTCTCAACGAAAAATCTTCCTTAAAATCACTTTTTTTGGTTCTGTTTCATAGATTCTGATTTTGGATTTTTAGATTAGCAGAAAATGACTTTGGTGGTGGATGAACATAAGATGAATGATAAATTTCCTATTGGAATGAGAGTTCTTGCTGTTGATGATGACAGAACTTGTCTCATGATTTTGGAGAAACTTCTCCTAAAGTGTCAATATCACGGTATTGTTTAGATTTGATTGAATCATATTTCAGATTTTGATTTTGATTTTGACCTATCACATGATTTTGTTTTTAAAGTTGACAATTTTTTCAAAATTTCTTTTCTGTGATCTTCTGTTTTTTACTTATGGTTGTGAATTTTTCGCAGTAACTACGGCTAAAAATGCGATAGACGCGCTGAATTTGTTGAGAGAAAACAAAAAGAATTTCGACTTAGTAATCAGTAATGTTCATATGCCAGACATGGATGGATTTAAGCTTCTTGAGCTTATTGGACTTGAGATGGATTTACCTGTCATTAGTATGCAATTCTTCAATCTTATGTTATTAATCGGATAAATTGAATTCGACTTTTTGAGCAATGCTAACGTTAAAAGTGTTTTGGTTTCAGTGTTTTCTGCGAATGATGATCCGAAGATGGTGATGAAAGGAATTACTCATGGTGCTTGTGATTATCTGCTGAAACCTGTTAGATTGAAAGAGGTGCAAATTATTTGGCAGCATGTGATTCGGAAGAAGAAAGGTAAAAGAAGCAATTCGGATAGCGTAAATGGAATAGATTCGGCTGTGACAGGAAGTTCGGATCAAAATGTGAAGCCATATAGAAAAAGAAAGGATAAGAATGAAAACGACGATGAGGAAGAGAATGAAGATGATGATGACGACGATGAGGATCCATCGGCGCAGAAGAAGCCTCGAGTTGTTTGGAATGCTGACATGCACCGCATGTTTGTTTCGGCTGTTAATCAATTAGGCATTGACAGTATGTTCTTCCCTCTTACTTCAACGCGAAAAACAAATATTCTCTTTTTTCTATTATATCAAATCCAATGTTGAGATTAATCTTATGATATAAAAATGAAAATTTTAGCCATTACAATACTGCAATATGTTTCTAAAGGTAATTGTTATTTTGCTGGCAGAGGCTGTGCCGAAAAAGATTCTTGATTTGATGAATGTTGAAAAGCTTACAAGGGAGAATGTGGCCAGCCATCTTCAGGTACTTTTTCTTACGAACACTTGAATGAAACCACATGTGTCAACGCCATATATGTGTCCGACTCACTGACACCAAATACGAGACAGACGCACTTGAATGTAACCATATGTGTCAGTGTAGTATCAAGTAGTGTAGTGTTTAGGTACACCGACACAATCACCAAGACACACACATTTGAATGTAACCACATGCGTCAGTGTAGTATCAAGTAGTGTAGTGTTTAGGTACACCGACACAATCACCAAGACACACACATTTGAATGTAACCACATGCGTCAGTGTCATATTAGTATCAAACCCGTTGACATAGACATGTAATATGCCTTATAATCATGGAAACCTTACGATTATTTGAAATTTGTGCAGAAATATAGACTCTATCTGAAAAAAGTCAGTTGTGGGGAAAACCAACAAGCTAATATGTCAGCAGCCTTAGGAAGTTCTGCAGATACATCCTTTTTCAGAATGAATTCTCTCAATGGAGTTGGAGGACATTTGCCAACAATGAATGGCGGCTCTACGCAGTTTCACAACAATCCATTCAGACCCTTTCAATCGAGCGGCATGAGTAACAACAGGCTGAACACACCTGCTAGTGTCAATATTCACGGATCTTACCAACCGGCCATAACTCGCGCCAATCCAAACGATATTCAAAGAACTCCAAATCCTCCTATTGGGCTTGATCAATTGCAACACAATAGAGGTATTAACATTAGTCCTATTATCAACATAACCAATAAATTTTCAGATTATAGACCAAAAGTTCCAATGAGTTGCACACCGTCTTCGGTTTTGGATATCTCAAACAATCCAATGATGATGGAATCAAACTCTTTTTCATTCCCTTCACTTGAGAAAAGAAGATTCAATGATGTTTGGTCAAACACTATGCAATTACCTGGAGTTACTAATAATGTGCAATTTCAAGGTTGGGATAATAACCATATTAATAACAATAATCATGATGGAAATTACCATTCTAATCATGTGATTGGTTCTTCTGTGATTCCTACTGTTGAACAAGAAGAAAACTTGGGCTACAATTATTGTGATTCGTTACAAATGAATGATAGTCGTGTCGCGGATTTATCTGAAGGGCCGTCGATGAAAGCACATCATGTATATATGATGAACCAGATGAAGTCACAAAACAATGGAATCTCTAAGAATATTGGTTCACTCGAAGACGTCGTCAATGACATGGTTAAACAGGTAATGAAATTTATGCAATGTGAAGAAGTTTTTATCTGAGTTTTTCTCTATTGCTTGCTGATAAATAATTCCTTTTGATGCAGAAACAATTATATGCTAAGTTCTCTGGTGGGACATCAATGTGACAGCAAGATTGTTGATGAATTTTTTAGAGTGACAGCAAGATTTTTAGTTTCCAGCAAGAGCTTTTTTTCTTCAAAATTTGTGAAAACATATTGTTGTTTACTTGCTTAATAGCACTTTTGGAGTTGATACAATTTTCTTATTTTGTGTAGACATGTTTTTTTTTTTTTTGTTTTCTTGCTGCAAATGACAATAAATATTAGCCTATGAACATCATTCGTTTATTGTTTTGTTTTAGCTTGTGTTCCTTCAAATGATTCAATGTAGTCTTTATCAATTATGTCTTGCATGGTTTGCATGTTCCAGTTCTTCTATTGACATCACAAGTAAAGCAAGAACATAAGCATAAGTGATCATTCTGCTCTATTATAGTGGTGGGGAGTTTGAGAATGACTTCTTAACCTCATTTAATTAGTAAAAGGTTAGGGTAAAAAAACCAAGAAAAACTATAAACAAATTTTTGTAGTCGTATAATTGAAAGAGACTTTGGGGGCGAGACAAGAGGCACATGCTTTCCCTATCTTCCTATCACGTCGTTCTTTTATTGGTTCGAGCGTCCCTCATGCGGATATGTTGCCCATGTCTCTAATGGCTCTGTCTAAAACGCACGGTTGTGCGTAAAGCATATATTGGGTCAACAGATGTTATATGGGAAGTCGTGAGACTTAACTACACTTTCTAGATTTTAGGGAATCAACCACTCATTCCTAGAGTGTTTTTCATATTCTAGGAAGACTCATATTGAGGGAAGACCTAACTACAACACAAAATTACACAAATATAGTAGTTTCTCACCTCACATGAGCAAGCTATCCATACGAAAACTACTCTAAAGCCTTCGACAACTCTTATCCATTAGGTGTTGTTACACATTTATACTTTTAGTGAGTACAATTGATCCCTACCGTAGAGTCCCGTTAAAACTAACTTGGGTCACACCTACCATTTAAGTACAAGGATGTTTGAGCAAAGTTCCAAGAAGACCACCAACACCATTGATGGGGGGTTTTTCCGGGAGAAGGGGGAGAAGTTATGTATGGAAGGTGTTAACACCAAACATCACACCCATAAAAGTTCTCAGTGCCTCCGATAGGGAGTGGAATCCCAAAATCACCTTTTCAAGAGAAGATGTGATCGATGTACGCCCCCATAATAATGACCTCATGGTCACCACGATTCAATATGCCAACCAGGATGTGAAACGAGTATCAATCGACCCTGGTAGTTTGGAAGACATCTTGTTCAGAAGCGCCATTCAGGGGATTTATTTGGATCGCAACAACATCAGATCTTTTCAAGGGTCTCTGGTCGGCCTATCACATGAGTGTGTGCAGACAAAGAGATAAAGGGCCACATCGCCCTAGAAACAATTTTTAGCTCAAGAGCAAGCACTAGAATCATTGGGGTTGAAGTATCTTGTAGTAGATGCCACACCCCCTATAACAATATACTAGGAAGGCCCGATCTCAACCTGTTAAGGGCGATGTTGTCCACCATCCACTTGAGCCTAAAATATCCACAACCTAACGGGTGTGTAGGTATAGTTAAATGGGATTCAACAATTTCCTGAGAATGTACCTGTGTAGCCTGGAGGTAGTAAGGGAACCCCTAACCCTGAATGCCATCTCTCATCATAAAATGATGATGTTGATTCAACAAGTCAAGATCCAAGATTGAAGGCAGAGAATGAAAGGCTTACCTGAACCAGAGATTTGAAACAATTCCAGTTTGAGCCTTGGTAACACCAAGTAACTAAGTTGGGCACCTCATTATCCAAATATGAAGAAGAAGAAGATTTGATCGCCCTGCTTAGGAAGAACATTGACATGTTCGCCTGGGCGCCATTGGAAATGTTTGACATAGATACCAGAGTGGTGTGTCATCGCCTCTCCATAAACCTTTAAGTTAATCCAGTGTGTCAAAGAACGCACAAGGTTGGCAAAGAGAAGAGAACCACCATCAACGGGGAAGTTAAGAAAATGAAAAGCGTCAAGTTCATACCAAAGGTCAATACCCTTCGTGGTTGGCTAACATGGTCCTGGAAAGAAAGGCATCAAACAAATGGCATTTGTGTGTTGATTTCACTAACCTTAATGGTACATGTCCTAAAGATCTGTACCTTCCCCAACGTAGATCTCTTAATATACGAATATTAGGGTTACAAAACATTGAGTTTCATGGATGTGTGGATCTCATTGATGCACCCAATATGACGTTCGTGTCCAACCATAATAACCACTACTATAATGTTATGCCTTTTTGGCTTAAGAACACCGACACTAACTATCAAATACTAATGGACACAATGTTCTCATAGCAAATATAACATAACTTGGAGGTTTACATTAATCACATGATCGTGAAGAAATTAGAAGGGGAAAGCCATGTAACATGCTTAGAAGATATCCTAGGGTTGGTCCGGAATTACAACATGCGCCTGAATCTAGCCAAGTGTTCATATGGAGTACAAGATGGCAAATTCTTGGGTTTCATGCTCACCAAAAATGGCATAGAGGTGAACCCAGACAAATGTCAAACCATCATAAACATGATGAGCCCTTTAATGTCAAATAGATTCAACAACTAACTAGACATTTAGCCTCTCTCTCTCATTTTCTTTCCTATGCAGGTTACATGGATTTCTACTTCTTTACCACGTTGAACAAAAAAGAGAGGTTCAAATAGAAAGATGAATTCACTTAGGCATTCTCAAGTTGAAGGAGTTCTTAGCTTCCCCGCCCATTCTGACACACCTAATAACAGGTTCATCATTGTATCTCTACCTGTTTGTTATTGACCATGTGTTAAGCTAAATACTCATCCAGGATATAGATAAGGTGGGGAGACTTGTTTATTTTGTAAGCAAAGTGTTCAAGAGGATTTAGGCTCACTATCAGAAGATAGAAAGGCTCATGTTGGTGGTAGTAGTGGTCGCAAGGAAGCTCATGCCTTTTTAATAGACATCAGATATTGGTACATGATAAGTGCAAATTGTAGTTATTTTTGTATATATTTTTTGTCGCACTTATCTACTTTGTGTTTGTGAATATCGTTGAATAATCCCGACTTTTGTGTAAATACGTTTAGTTTATGTTTATTTGTGTTTTTGTGTACATAGTGTACCATTTGATTTTTTTCCATTCATTTTGTAGATATTTGTTGCATTTTGGAGCATTGAGGAATAAAGGTGTCGAAGGCACGGCTCCAGATGCACGTTTTTGGAATAAAAGATCAGCTTTGGGACATTGTTGTCTAGGAGAGCCCGCTTAGCACGAGTGGCACTCAATGCATTTTGTAGCGCGCTGTTGTGTTTTACTGTTTTGGCAGAACCAAAGCAAGAAATCCCTTTTAGCGCGATTTAAGGAGGTTTAATGTGTAAATAACACACAACGCGCTTTGACCGCTTAGCGCACGCTGCTGAGATTTGTTTTATATTTCATTTTTCAGTCATTTTTAGGTTATGGTTTTGGGGAAGTATTTGCTCCTAACTCCATCAACCTCATGTTTGTAGTGGATTAGCTTAGATAACAACTATGGAGCTTGCATACGTGTGATCCGGGGTGGATTTCTCTTTGATCGGCGCTGACAAACCGTTAGATCCGCGGTTCATTTATCTTCCTCTTTGTGTAATACTCTATGGTTGGGTTTGTATGTATATTTTCTTTGATCTAATGTATATTTTTCGCCCTTGGCGTTATATTAAACTTTCTTTACAAATCTTTATGGATTGTTGTCCTGGATTTTTGCTTTGTACTAGGGGTTTGAGTTATTATAGACATATATTGCTTAGATCTTTATCTAGGAGATGATTATCTATTAGTTTCGGAACTCTAGAGATAGATTTAGAGCTGACAATCTACGTGGGTATCAGAGTTTAAATCCTCTTTGTTATTTGTGTCACTCTCAGAGATCGTCGATGTAGGCGAGCACAGTTGACTTCTGTGTTGTCGAGGTGGTTGAGAGATCGCTACCGAGGTGATGCAGTTGGCCTCTCAATTTGGTTAGAAATGACTTAGGTTGTGAGTTATACGTAGTGACATCAATGACTAATGTTAGGTTGAGTATGATAGGAAGATAAATTTAAGTCAGTGAGAAGGAGTACATATGCGTACCTGATAAGTTCTTCCTTAGTAGTTTTTCTTTTGTTTAAATTCATTTTCTGTTAATAACATTTTCTTTACAAAACCCATTCAACCCCAAACTCATTAACAATAATTTGTCGAACGACGAAACAAATCAATCTCTATGGACACGTTAATTCCCAGATAAATATTTCCAAAACTTTTGTTGCTTGCCGCTGCACGCACACCAACACAACGGCGCCGTTGTCGGGGATTGGTTCTATTGTTTTCACATTGCGATAATGTCTTTGTTTTTTAGTTTTGTAATTACTGTATATGTTGTATAGAAATTGTTTATTAACTTATATATGATATTTGCGCATAAATGTTTTTTCTTTGTTTTCACGTATTGTTGTTAATTGTCTCGTTATCGTAGAGTTTATTGTGTGATTGTTAGGACGCTTTCTTTAGGTTTACGCGGTGTGAAAATACCATGGCATGATGAGAGAAGGTTACTATCTCGCACAATAAAGAGGTCGAGCTTACGACATAAAACAAGCATGTTTGTTTGTATTTGTTTATCTGTGTGTTGGCTTGTGTTTAACAAGTTGAACTCGGATTAGTTTTTAAATTTCAAAAGTTTCACTTTTCAACTTTTTAATACACTTTCAAATTGTTTGTTTCGTTATGTAAAATTGTATTTTTTTTCCGCAAGCTTGTTGTGTTTATCTTGAGGAAGTTTGTATGTTGTAAATATTCTGTACCTTTTGAGTGTGTAGGTGATGGTGAAGTTGCATAGCAGTTGCACCATATGCTGCTGTCTTTTTTCTGCATCTGGTGTAGCGTGCTAAGCGCGCTCCGGGCCACTTAGCGCGCTCTCCTGTGCAGAGCCAGTAATTTCTTTTTAATTTTGTTCTTGGCTTTTATTTTTCCCACTTCCA